GGCTACGGCATTGTTCTGTGGCAAATATATTCTTCAACAAACCCTAGCATATATTTATATATGTCCATCTTCATATCTAAACCTTGCAGTGAGATTTGAGAAAGCAACTAATAGAACTTTGCGTTCGAAATGAAGTGAACTAGATATAGGCAGAGCGCAACAAGATGACCAGGAGCCGGAGGCATTTAATTAAAGGAAACGTTATAATTAAATGCATCATAAGACGCCGTATTCTGACAAAAAGACGCCCACACACTGCCAAAGATTTTCTGAGTTTACAGTCTGTTCCCACGACGGTTATATCCTGCGCATAAGCGGTAGTTTTAGCAGCTTTGACTAAAGTCATGTTTACACTACAAGCCTTGATAAATGTTGCGCGTTTACACCATAACATTATTTTTTTGAGAATGGGTCAGTTTGGCCTAGAATTTTGTAATTAATTTTGTGTACCGGGTGTCCCAAAAAAAAGTACTCCGGTTTGATTCGTAATAACTTCTAAACAAGTAAAGCTTTTAAAGAGAAATAACTTGCATCAAATAGACGAAGGACTAACTTAGATTTTGATATATCAGAGTTGTATTTCGCTTAAAAATTCACGGAGATATTAATGTTTAAAATCGGGAGCATATTTCTGGATGTGTCTGAAATATGCAAAAAACGGCGTATCAAATATTAATCAACATTTGCCCGACTGAAACATGCACTATTACCAGTAAATAAATGACATTTGACAAATTGTTTATTATGAAACAAAGTACTATTATCTACAAAATGCAAGCAAGATTTATTTGTTCGAAATCCGTGTGCATGTGTTCCTAGCACGAATACGTTTCCTTATTTCATGAGACCACTGCATCGCGAAGGATCGTCATGAATATCCGCGTTCGTAGTTCTGAATTAGGGCATGTTGTCACAATAGAATTGTGAAGCTCTTCTAACTTCTTCAAAGTTCTGAAATCTTGTTAAGAAAACTCAAACTCTTTTGCCTTTTCTTAATCTTGTTTATCTTGTTAAGTTCAGAATAAATTGAGAATGAAACACAATCAAACCATACAACTCCATAAGTCATAACAAGCAACTCCCCAGAGACATCCAACATTTTTGGAACAAAACGTAACAAAATAGTAGCGTCGATACTGTGATGTGTATTTGCAAAAAGCAATATTATTTCCTTCATTAAAGAATAATATTCATCCTGCTCTAACCGAGAAATAATCAACTCTGTTTTTAACTAATGAAAAACATAAAAAAATTAGGCTATTTAAGAAAAATTTAGCCTGCCTTAGTAGTCTTTCATGTACCTTTAAGTTTGTAAAGACCTATTAAATACTTACATAAGTTCGAACATTCATTTTTCAGGAAACAATGAGCTAAGACTTACATGCATATATTTTAAGATGTCTAAATCTACGCCATATCCCTTATATACAAACCCTAAAGACAATTCGTTGAAATACAAGTTAGCCTGATATATCATTAAACAAAGAAACGCTGGAGTTATATTTGATATGCCGATTTTCGCTAATTTTAGACACATCCGAAAATATGCTCCCGATTTTGAACATTAATATCTCGGTGAATTTTTAAGTAAAATACAACTGTAATATATCAAAATCTAAGTTAGTCATTCCTATATGTAATGCAAGTTATTTCTGTTTGATAGCTTTACTTGTCTAGAAGTTATTATAAATCAAGCAGGAGTACTTTTTTGGGGGACACCCGGTATTTTTATGTGTTGTGACGTTGTCCGCTCGCCGATAATATCTCACTGTGCCCTGTGGACACACGTTGCCATGAAAATAAGGCGAGGGCCGTAAGTGTTTACATTCCCACATGCGTAGGCCAGGCCTAGGCCACCGGTTGTAGTTGGCCCAGATTTGCTGGCCTATAGGTCAGGCCAAGGCTAGGCCAAAGTGTGTTTACACTGCCAAAATGTAGGCCAAGGCCAGGGCAAGGCTTGTAGTGTAAACACGACTTTTAGTCCGTGTGTTGTGACCCGAAAGCGTTCACTTTCATTAAGCATGTCTTAGATCTGAAATATGTTTACGGGAACGTTCCCACTCCGTAGACCCGCAGTTTTTTCACAAAATGCTATTTTATCTTCACTAATTTCACAACAAATTGTTTCATTGTTCAACGATACGGATCGATGACGATACACGATTATGTCACTCAAAATGACCAATTTCTATTAACCATTCTTCCTTGTAACAAAAGATCGGTTTTGCTCGAATCATTTTGAGTTATGTAATCTTATGCGTGTTGGACGTAAACAACATATCTTGGCTACAACTTTGAGAAGGTACAGATAACGCTTTCTAAAATCCTCATTTCTAGAGATATTTCTATAAAATCACAATGGCGTTAATGTCAAGTCTTTTAGCTATGTCACTGGCCTGAAAAATAACTCTTTTAACGCGATCAAGATATTTAAAACAAAAGTAACGCGAAGCCAACGTAACGGCAAAGATAACGCTAAAACGAAATATTGTCGAATGGTTGCAGGTAGAAGACTTACGACAGGATCAATCTTAAATAACCTTAAACTATAAGAATAAATGTTCACATCAAAGACAAAGATCAGTCACAAAGTATAAAATACGCTCTGTAAACTTACCGCGAAGTGGAGAAATGTGTGCATGAGCTGTTTATTTGATGATTTCGACGTATATAGAAGCCCTCTTTCCAATAATATTCGCTTATCGCACAGTATAACACCAACTGATGTAATAGTTCAAATGCAATGATACAGTAAGTTATCTCCTGAATTACGTCTTGGAAACCGTGTTGGAAATTTCAGTGCTGGTCCATTACATATAGATTACCGTTTTATATCTTTGTATAAAACATTTTGATCGCATGTAAGGAATTATTTCTCAGCCCAGAGACATAGCCCAAAGACTTGACATTAACGTCCTTGTGATTTTCCCCGAGCCGACGGCGCGAAGCGCCGTGCGAGGGTACTAATTCCCCCCGGCTATTTACACCCGGGGAAACGAAAGCATTAGCGAAGTCTAAAGTTCATCAAATATCGCGGGCGTGGCTCACCAACGAAGTTTCGGTGGGTGGTCATCCTCACTGATCTCAAAATATGTGGCGGACTGTCATGAATAGCGAAAACTGATTGGTCCAATTTAAAGTTTGCATTATAACGACTGCATGACGACAGCTAAATAGCAAACATTTCTTGATTTGATGATTGATAAATTTCTTGCAAATATCACAAATATATTTCATTTTCACTCGCATTTTCGCAAGATTTTGTAAATTTCAAGAAAGAAACAGCGAAAGAATCGGCTAAAAGAAGTGAGCCAACGTTAACGAAGGTAACTTTGTTTTAAATATTGATTTTATAATGGATTTAATTTAAAACCCGACGGCCTTTGCATATATGAAACAACTAAACAAGACAGCATATTATTTCAGTGTATCTTTAGTAATATTGATTCCCTTTTTATGATATTGAATTTTTTAAATAAAAAAGAAAGCAGAGTTATTTGCAAGCGAGAATTTGAAGTCATTTTATTGCAAACTCAAAGTTTATCGATAAAGCCATTTTAAAAGGCAGTTTAGTTTTATAAAGAACACTAGTGACTTTAAAACGTTTTGCGAAGCGTTTGTGGTTGAATTTTACCTTAAATTGAGGCTTATATTACGTATAATAACATACCTAACATATATATGTTGGGAAATTAATACTTTTGTAATTAAAAGTGATATTTTTTAGGCGATTTTTCATTTGTAAGAATATTCTTAAAAAATTATCGTGTTACCATGACAACTACTTCAGATACTTCATGTTCGGAAAATACAATGGTTTTGTCTGTTTGTCAGCAAGGCGAGGGTTTCTGCATGCATGTATTTTCTAGTATAGAAATAGATCCAGAACTAAGGATATTATAAGGAATTATCTGTACTTTCTCAAAGTTGTAGACAAGATATGTTGTTTACGTCCAACACGCATAAGATTACATAACTCAAAATGATTCGAGCAAAACCGGTCTTTTGTTAAAAGGAAGAATGGTTAATAGAAATTGGTCCTTTTGAGTGACATAATCGTGTACCGTTATCGATCCGTGATGTTGAACAATGAAAAAATTTGTTGTGAAATTAGTGAAGATAAAATAGCATTTTGTGAAAAAACTGCGGGTCTACGGAGTGGGAACTTTTCAGATTTGAACTCAGCGTGTTCGAAAGTGTTAGTTCCCGTAAACATATTTCAGATCTAAGACATGCTTAATGAAAATCGTTTTCTAGGCACTTTTCGAGGTCACAACACACGGACTATTTAAGAGAGAAAGAACAACATATTATATTTATATATGATATATTGCGTGGTTTTTGAAAACGAAGCAGCGACATATATAGCATATTATGCTTTGCTATATTGTGTGATGAGTTTCTTAAATAACTGAACGAACCAACAACATATTATATTGATATATTGCGTGATTTCTTAAGAACGAAGCAACAACATATTATATATATCATATTGATATACGCCGGGATCTTTCCTTTCCCCTGTTATATAGGCCTACGTGCATGGTCTCTTGAGAACGAGGAAACAACATATTACATCAGTTTCACAACGAATTTGCCACTCATGCGGAAGAAAAATACGAAACGTCGTAGAAAATTACACATTATTAAAGCATTGTATAGAAAATGAAAGTGTTTCTTCGAGCCATTCTTCAAGTGATGAACATTTTTTCGAGACAGCTACTATTTATCCTGATCGTTACAAACGATCCTTGCCAATTACAGTTACACCTGACAGACGTTCTTGCAAAAGAAAGGAAGGAGCTATAAAAACAACCGACAGAGTGGGAGAAGACATCTATCTTTTGACCCGTTTGACTCTGCTGATGAAGGCGCTCATTACGACATGTATCCATGTCAGGACGCAACAATGGACGCAACCGAAGTGGATGTGACTATAAACAATGAGCCTGAATTATCGCCCGAAAATATTATGAATGATTTAATAGCTAATCAATGTAATGTTGATCCATCTCGCTCTATCTTCAAATATAAAAAATAGCGCTGTTCGTGTGTTAATTTGTTACCCTAATCTTCGTATTGATGTCAAAGAAGATTTCACTGAGTTAACAAAATCTTTGCTGAAAGCAATTGCTTTGAAAAAGTGGAAGACAGCTTCAAACATTATTTTCAAACATGAAAACATTGTTGCACATATACCCGACGCTTTACGAAGGAAGATAAACGAGGAATTTCGATACTTGAGTTCTGACTGCCTTCAGAAAGGAATTTCACCGAAAGAGATTACAGCATTTAACAACGAAAGTTTTGTGGAAGAACTAAGTATAAAGTGCCCTATGTGGCATTCTGCTGTCAATGGCGCGTGTGGCATGTCACTTAATCCAGGTGAGGAAAAACGTAAAAGGTCATTCAATGTTATAGCAGTCGCGACCTCAGTGTTGTCAAGATTCAGAAATCCGACACTATCTGCTCTCGCATATAGAATTTCGATGATATTACTTCATGGCGGCCTTAGTTATCTAGAAATTAAACGACTAAATCATTTGGGTATTCGCATGTCGCCGGACTCCATTGTTGAGCTACAACGAAAAATAGGAACTTCGTCAGATGCCAAGGTTCATATATGGAAGAAATCAATAGAAGATATTTTGACGCAACAATCATTTCTTACTGAAATAATACAAAAGCAGTTCATATCTAAGGATGACAAACACGCGACAGACGCTGCGGAGTTGAACGAAACAGTATTAAAATCTTATTCAAACTACACCACGACGACCTATAAATTATGCGTACAATTAATAGATGATTTCCGAGTCATGAGGGGCGATGCATACAATACTCTCGCGTCTGTTAATGATGCATTACAACACCTTCCAAACGAAAGAGTTCCACGTTTCCGGTGAGTTTTTACAAAATATATAATGACACACTAATACAATATACAATAGACCCCTTGCTCCCAAGACTATATGCTCCCTATATGCTACTATATGCTCCCTATAACTAGCATACCGTAAGCTACCTAAGCTTCTATACTTTCGCAAGCGATTTTTGATGGGCTTGTACAAATGTGGACTTGTACAAATGTGGGCTTGTACAAATGTGGGCTTGTACAAATGTGGGCTTATACATGGACGATCTTTTGTGTTTAATAGTAATAAACAAATCAGACACAAACAAGGCAGTCATAAACAGGAAAATAAACATGTATTACTAGTAAGCAGCGATTACTGGGCTTATATTAATTCAGGGGACTTATATTCTGGGGGCTTATATTTGGGTGGACTTATATTCAGGTGGGCTTATATTCGGGGGGGGGGCTTATGTTTGGAATGAGGTGAGCGTTAGTATATGTAGTGGGATTATACACAGGGGGGGGGCTTAAATTTGGGGGGGGGGCTTATAGTTATAGTCGGAGGTTTACTGTAATTAAGTGCTATCCACAGGTGTGTTAGCACCCCCAACAACTATAGTCGTATTATAATAATTAAATATTGATAAAACAAAAAGATTTATAAAAGAACTTTGAGTACGTTTTCACAATATTTTTCAAACAATTGCATTAGGAAAAGCAGGAAATTCAGTTCTTGACATTCAAAACATTAGAGAGTCCCCCCCTCCCTAAAATACTTATTATTTAATTCCTGATGCCACCAATTTTGAAAACAATGTTACCTGGCATTAAGTAGGAATGTCCCCTATTCCCTCCTTTGTTGTTTTACTCTGTCCAATGCCAGACTATTTTACTCCTCAATGGGGAAATCGGGATGGGCGTTAATTTCTACAATTTTAAACGTTATCATAAATTGGTTTTTCCTGTTTTAGAATAGTTGGTGACAATATTGATTATTCAATCAACCCCAGAATACAGAGCAAGGATCACACCAATAAATCCATTTATTGGACCCAACAATATGCAATACTTGATAGAGTAATGTGTTCAGGATATGCATACAAACACCTTTCAGCTGGTAGACTTGCTCCCAGGAAAGGATGTTCAAGAGACATTCAAGCAAAACTGTGCCATACTAGTTAGCAGAGTGGTTACAAAATTCCTAAAAGAATTGAACTGTTTGAATGATGTTGTCATCCGTTACATTCAACATCCTCATATGCAAGAAAATTCTGAGAAATCTGACATTGTATGTGAATATTTGAATATTTTTTTTATTTGCCCATATAAAGCTAAATATATTTACAATCTATATTTTTTACAAACATTAAGGGCTAGGAACCTTTATGAAACCCTTTCAGGCTTTTATTCAAAGGCCCCTAGTTTAACAATATTAATTATTATATAAAAATGGTTAAAGCTTGTTCAATCTTGTCAAAGACAAAGTAAGAGTATTTACAAATATAGTGATTTGAATATAAATATACACAAGAGTTTATTATGTGAGATTACAAATGAAAGCCGTTAGGTATATTCCAAGAAAAGGCTTTTCAACTTTTTCTTAAAAGTAGAATAAAACATAGTATTGCTAGTTCCTTTATCAAGAGAGTTCCATATTTTAACTCCCTTGTTAACAATAGTATGTTTTGCATAATTAGTTCTACTATAATTGACATGCAATTTGTTAGAATTCCGAGTATTGCAATGATGCACTTCATTGTTTTGTATGAAGTAGCCATTAAAAAATTCAGGTAGATTTTGTAAACGTTTAAAACGGTACATAAATAAACAACTTAAATTGTCATTAATCTTAAAAATATTCAAGATTTTCAATTTTTGAAACAATGGTTCAGTGTGTTCAAGATAAGATTTAAAGTTCATCAATCTGATAATTTTTTTCTGTAAATTCAGTATTTTTAGCAGCCTTGTTGGGTACGTGTTACCCCATATTAAATTCCCATAAGTAAGATATGGATTACATTATTCCTTACATTAGGATAATTTATAATTCTACTCTACAAAGTGAATGCTATCATGGTACCCATATACTTTGAAGTATATGTGAATAATTGAAAGTTCACATACTGTTTCAACCTACAGTATATTGTGCAATGTGATAGTTTGGGTTGGGATTAATAATGGTTTATGCTAACCTTTAGTGTGTGAATAAGCTCATCAGAACATTTTGAATGCATTGGAAGACAGGCAACAATATGGTCAGGGTTTTCCATAGGGGGGGGGGGGCAACTGGGGCCGCCAGTAATTTTTTCATACAAAATATTTCTGTTTTGTTCGGGCAAAGTACCATTCTTAAAAATGAATATCATGCTGGGAGATATGGAATTTGGCTTAAAATAATGTGGGGATAGTGCCACAAAAACAATGAAAAAAACCCTTTTTCCATGTGGAAAGGGGCCCCAAAATATAATTTGCCTGGGGGTAATTCTCCCCCAAAATCCCAAATTCCCCCAAATCTGAAAATAGCTAAATTCTGGGGGGATTTGGTGAACCCAGACATCATTTCTATCCCCTCACTTGGAAGAGAGTTGAGGAAATGATGTCTGGGTTTGTGACTAAGGGGGAATCCCCCCCAAATAAAACAACACATGCAATTTTTTTTTGGGGGGGGCTTCCCACCCAAGTCCCAAAACATAAAATACCCCTGAATATGGTTACCTGAATGACATTGATTTATATATCAGGTTTTCTATGACTGAGCCAATTTGACATCATAATAGTGACTTAGTGCACTTTTATCACACTGCATAACCAGTTTTTTTGTAAATTATATAATTACTCTCCCTTATAGTGTTGCCTTGGTCTTCAATTTAAAAATCCCAATGAGTCTGGTCAGATGGCAGATATTATAAAAACAAACCAGGAAAATTATGTTCCCTGTTCGATATCTGAAAATGGAGAAAAGAATATTTTGACCAAGATTCCTTTTCACGGAGATAAGTTGTTCGAGGAACGTGCCAGGAATGTGCAAATCACTTTCCAGGATGGCCTCACACGCTATGAACGATTGGAAGGCTTATCAACAGAAGCAGCAGACTGGCATGCAAAAGTTAACTTGTATTCCGTAAGTGTTAGGGACCGGTCATTATTTATGGTGGGGTGGCAGTGGCACCGAAGAGAAATGTTTTCGTGGCAAAAATTTTGCTGCAACCATTAAAAAGACAAAAATTTGATTACCCAACCTCAAATATCAATTAAAAAACAATTACCCACCCTGGCCAAAACGTTACAAAAAGATACCATTCAGTTGTCACACATGTCCTTTACCACTTCTGTGACATGAGTTTGATAACGGCTTGTGAACTTTTCTGCAGTCTAAAGTTTCATGTTGTCTGCACATGTACTTTCTTTGGAAACACCATTTGTTTTGTCAAAATGATCAAGATAGTGACTCTGATTGATTCATATATTGTATTGACAAATGACTGTTGACATTGCTTTTCAGTCAACAATATTTTGACAGTGAGTCGTGTTTTTGAAATGACAATAAATTTTTATTACCCAACCCTTGAGTTGTTTTGTTTTTAATCTACCAAACCTTTTACTTACTCAAAATTTTGTTTACCCAACCTTTTTCTTTTCGGTGCCACCCCCCACCATAAATAATGACCGGTCCCTTAGATCACAGTTTCAAACCATACAGTATATTTAATGGGAGGACTGGGTATAAGTCCTCAAGTTTCAGGTAGTCAATTTTCCAATTTGTTTAAATTCAAGGATAAAAAGGCTGGAGTTAGGTCCCCAACATGTTACAACTATTAAGATTACTATAAAATCTCCATCCAAATGTGATCAGCACAAAGCCAATTCAAGCTTTTAGTTTATACGTGCAGGGGATGATTGGAATTAACGTAGCATATTGCTGATTATGCTGGAAAATGTTCAATAAAAACTGCCGAAACAACCGAAATATTTCAATATTTACAAGTATAAGTTGTCACTGTGTGTTTACACGGCCACCATTTTTATTTTTTCAGCATAATCAGCAATATGATACCTCACTTCCCGTCATCCCCTGCATGCATAAATAAAAGCTGGAATTGCCTATTAGGAACAGGTTCTATGATTGGTTGATTATAACAATGAAACACAGTAGCTAAAGAATGAATAGATTTTCTAAAGAACAAGTTACAAACACTTTTCCATTTTGCTTATGGATGCCGGCCTGTGTACAGCCGTAAATTCTCCCATAATTAACGGGAGGATTTACGGCTGTACGCAGGCTAATGGATGGTAGCTAATCACAAAACCTGACCATTTTAGGTTTGTGCTTACTCTCCCAAATGGCATGAATTAATCAAGAAATTGCATTTCAGTGACGTTTAGCACTTCAAAATTTTCCAAAGAGTAGCAAATTTTATCCAGACCCATCCAGAAGTTTCTTGCACGCTTTCGTTGCACAACCTTTGCCTCACTTTTATGTCCCTTACACTGCCATATTGTACACTATGGCATATATGTGTCAGCGGCTTTTTGCCCCATAGGCCATAGTCAGTGATATTCTGTAATAAAGTATACACTGTATGTATTTATATAAACCATTAACTAATTGAGTATGTAATTAATTTGATAAACATAACAATGATTACATTCATTTAACATACAACAACCTGACAATTAACTGTTTTAGATTGAATTTGACATGTTTGTTGATGATGAATCTGCTAAAGAAATCGGTACAAGTAGAGCAAGTATGAACAGATCGGGTAAAACAAGAGCGGCACAAGGTGTAAAGAAAAAATTCAATGAATATAAAGATTTCCATCAGAATGAAATTACAGCCCATATTTTGGCTTCATTTATGGAAATGCACAATATGAAAAGTATTGATGGTAGGTATATATACTGGGTGTCAAAAAAACTGGACACTGTTTGATTTCATGTAACATAAAAGCTATAAAAGCTATCACAATGAAATAAAGATCATTGTATTCAGAAAGGACTAACTTAGATTTTGATATATAACACTTAAATTTACATGCAATATTGAGCGAGATACAACGAAAAAAAATTTATTTAACTACACCGGTAATTATGAGGTTGTTTATGCTAATTTTTGGAATTTTAGAAAACATTAATTCAACGTTCAAACATGTGGATATACATTCAGAGTAACATCACAAACATATTCACCTGAGTACATAACACCAACACAGAAAAAATCATATTACTATATTGCATCGATATCGAAGGAACTAAACTCAGTTCCAAAATATCACATACTCGAACCGACCTGACCGCGTAGCTCAGTTGGCATAGCATTGGGCTAGATTTGCAAAGGTTGTAGGTTCGATTCCCACCGTGGCCAGGCATATTTTTCAAGCGTGCCCGGTGTGGATATACACTCAGAGTAACATCACAAACATCAATAGCGCAGTTAATATTCCATGTAAATTCAAATGCTATGCATCAAAATCAAAGTTAGCCCTTTCTGATATATTCCCATAATATTATACCTTCATTGAATTTGCTACGCCCTTTTGTTAGTCCTGGCACACATGTCAAAAAAACCCGGTTTCATATTAGAATGATATAAAACTGGTTTTTCATATCTCTGAGGATGGTTCTGAAATACACATGCCAAGTGTGGCACATACACTGTATGTGATCAATAGACATTTCAAATAATTGACTTCTCAATAGATGGCAAATGTGGGGCTACCGGCATGACTTTGAACAATTGATCGTGTATCCAAATAAATTGGCCAACAATTAACATAATTTGACATATATAAATCTTACAGTACTTATGTGATATAGCAAGATTCTTATATGGTTTTGCTACATTATAAGTAAAATATGTAAGTTGAAAGTATGTAATTGTGTTTTTTGTTTGTTTGTTGAACATGTGCAAAGATAAATGTGACGTAGTAATACCAAATGATGATGCTCCTGCAGAGATGAGAAAATTGTGGTTGTTGGACCTCTGTCAAACATATGTTGACAAGTACCTTGGGTTTGACAATGTAAATGCACTTGTTGATCAAGTTGTACAAGATAATACTAAGTCAGATGGATTTACATGCAGAGCAGATGACTGTCAAGCAAAATATGTGTATCACTCACGACGAGTCAGGTATAATCAATAATAGCATTATAAATGTTCAAATATAACGGGGAGCATCTTTGGGGGGACACCTTCAATAATCTAGTGGGCAGAATACTTTGCAAAATTCAAACATTGATATTTACTGTACATACTGATAATTATGTGCATATTACGTCTGCAGACATGAAGTCGATGTACACAATTTGCAAGTAGATATGGGAAATGGGCCAAGAGATTCTGAAGGATATTTCTACTGTGGAGCCAGTTGTGGTTATGTCTTTAGCGCAAATGTACAAGGAACAGTCGTAAAAAAGTCTTTAATGAATCATAATAATTACAATATAAGTGAAAAACTTAAGTTCAACTAATATACCTTTTCCATAATTTAGTTAGTTCTTGAGATATATGCAAGACATAGGTGATATGCAAATGAGCCAAAGATTTTTTTGTTTGAATACTGGACTAATTCAAACATCTGGGTTTGTATATATTTTAGACATGAGCAAACAAAGCATCCTGGTTTTAAATCTCAAGTCATTTCAACTGAAGTTACAAGTTGTACGACAACAAATAAATGTGAAGACTAACTGTACAACTATCATCGGGCTAAACTGGCTTTTGGACTACTGATCTTTGAATTTGAGGATACAATAAAGGAAGCAGATGGAAATCGGGTCCACAATGTCTACAAATTTGCATTGCTACTGTATAAGTGCTATGGCCATCACAAGTATGCTTATGTTACCCTATTGTATCTGCTTAAATTAGAAACAGAAGTGGAAGGATATTCTATGAAGTGGAACAGGTTTTACAACAAATACGGAGGAAAGGGAAGAAACATTCCCCTAGATCTCAAAATGGAACAACTAAATAAATTACTGAAGTCAATGTTTAGGAGTTTGGGACCCAATGTTGATGAAAAAAAATGCAAAAAAAGAATGTCTCAAAAGCAAGGACATGGTTCCAAAGGAAAACCAGAAGAAACTGTTCAGCAAATTATCAATGACTTAAATGAAAAATGTGTATTTCAATATACTCCAAACAGAGAGGGCCATCCATCATTTCCAAAGTTTGAGTCGAATCTTGTGAAGAATCTTAAATACAGAGATTTTCACAAGTGGATGATGGACACTATACATAAATGGAAATATTTAACTGGAAGTAAATAGTAGATAAGTGTAGCGCTACGATTTACATTTAAATACTATCAATACTACTATTAATATTACTATTAAATTAAATATCATCCTCATTTAAGCTATCCAGCTCAAAAAGTTCTGACTGTTCATCTGAATCTGAACATTGAAATTCTGCGAGTTCTTTGTCATTCAACACAACTTCGTTGAAAATACAACTCAAGGAGTCAAACTGTGGAATGTCATCAAATATTTCATCAAGAACTTCCAAAATTTTTAACCCATGCTCGACTGTGAATATTAGCAGGTATGTTTTCACATCGTTCAAAGTAAATATCCAATGACAGTTATCAGTAATACACTCAATTAGTTCTTCAGAAAACCCATGACACGAAGATGAACCAAAAACAGTACACCCACTAGGCAATGTATCCTTAATATCACTTAAAGCATCTCTAACATCTTGTTTATCCTGTACAGTTACCAGCCTAGTCATAGACTCTGCTGATGATGTTGTACGTTGATAGTTGCATTCAAATGGCATCAACTTGCAGTCCTCATTTTTGCAATTGCAACTTTTAGCACAGTTCAAGCAACATTTATGTTTAATGTCTAGGGGTGTGATATTTGGGTCAAATGTTTTATATGCAGCAACTCTGTAACAGCCTTCAGCTTTCACAAAATTTGAAACATTCTCCTCACAATGTGACAGTTGTTGTCCATAATAGACCAGTATCACATCAGATTGTTCACCATCCCTGCCTGCCCTACCAGCTACTTGATGCTGATCTATAAGTGTTCTCGCTGGTCCCCAGTTAATGATGTATCTTACATCCGGAAAGTTAACTCCCACACTAAGAGAAGTGCTTGCTATTACAACTCGCAGATGACCATCTCTCTGAAGGATTTGAAGACCCGGTCTTTATTATGTTGCCATGATACAGAATGGAATATACCAATGATAAGATCACATTTCTTACTTGAATTTGGAGGATAATAAGCATACCCTCAAAGTTTAAACAAAAGATGATTGAACACAAATGCAATATCTGTCAAGGTATTGCAGAAGATTATAGTTTTGGGCATGCAACAACCAACCCCTTTTATCATTGCAATGAGCCAGTCTAGTTTTTCATGCATTTTGTCTCTGGATGTTTTGACCACTGAAAAACGCAGGTTTTCTCGGTTTCGGCTGATAAAAATTTTGGTTGGGTTTACCATCAGCAATTCTGTAGTAATAATCTTTTGAGTATGCATATCAGCAGTTCCAGTGAGAGCTAGTATGGGAACATCTGACAATAAAAAATGTTTATGAATTTAGAATTAAATTAATCCTTAAAACAGGAAGTTAGGAAAATTTAAAATGAAGTTTTTTGCATTGCAATATTGCAACAGCCAATAGAAACATTGCAAATTCCCTCAAGGGATTTGCAAAGAGTTTTTCAAATTTGCAAAGCTAATGAGGAAAATTCCAAACGAGTTAGAAAGTCAAAAGAGGAATGCTTCACGTAGTTTACCTGTAAACCTTTTCTTAAAATGTCAATATTTGTTTTTCTCATTCTAGGTATTGATTCAAGACCCAAACAATATGAAAATTGCCAAACTAAATGTTTATAATTATATACATGATGTGCAGGTTTCTGTATCCTAGATTCTTATAAGTATTAGGCGATTGCGAACCGATTGCACTGTTAAGAACATGCTTACATACACCATTTTGCGAATGCACTTCCCCCAATTTTCCCCCATGGGGAGAGGGCAGGGCATTTGTTCACAGGCTATTTTATACAAGGGACAGGACTGACATGCCTAAGGGCTAAGTTTAAAGACAGTTTAGAAAGCACTTTTAACTTGTGTTTACTTTTCATGGAAGTATGTTAGGAGACTATGAGTAGGGGATGGGATTTCATCCTTGGTTAGGTGTAAAAAATCAAATTTTCACTTGTTTAATTTATTTGTTTGTTTCTTCTCATCTTCCGTTTGCGTTTTATTCTGAATAAAACAGATAAACATATTTTAGTATATGAACAACAAAGTTGTTAAAACTGAAACATTTGTAAAATATGTACCTTTTGCCGGCCCAAGTTTCTATTGTATGCGATTCATCAACCACAATGCAAGCCAGTTGTTTGTGTAGTTCAGATGTTCTATCCTTTAATTCATTGCGAAATTCCTTGGTCGCAACATCTTCGGCCGAACCAAACAAGAATTGCATTTTACATTCGCGTAAATCATCTTTTGGAAGTCCGGCTAGGTTGGCGGCTGGAATACCGATTGAATCCAAATAGTCCAACTGGTCTTTTGCGATGCTGGTCAAAGGGGTGATTACTAAAATTACTACAGCACCCGAAAGCTGTTTATCCTTCACAGAAGCAAAAGCGTAGAAAATACGACTCTTACCAAATCCCGTTGGCAATGTCGCAAGAACATCTTTCCCACATAATAAATCATGTATAGCTTGTTTTTGCTCGTCTCGTAAATTCCATTTTGATGATATTCTCGAAAGTTCAAAACGCTCTTCGCTCGCCGCCATCTTGTATCAATAATTATTAAATAAATTAGCTTACATGTCAATCAACCTGAATTCAGCCAATCACAATTCTCGGCAGCTGGCTGCCGAGAGTCATCAATTTTACCCGGACTTCCGGGAAGGCTCTTCTTCAATTTTCCCCTAGCGTCTAGTCCCCCAAGAAGAGCCGGCCACGCTGGCTATCCGTTACCGGAAGCCAAGAATCCTGGCTAAGATTGAACTACGCATTCCATTTCAATGGCCAATCAGATTCCTCCCTGAAACGGATTATCCCAGAGCCTCGCGTTCCTTCCCGAGGATTGCAGGCTCGGGGAACGAGATTGATGATGAGCGCTTTTTGACGGTTGACAGACTGGTGCCTAGTTTCCCTACAACACGCGCAAAGCTTCCTGGGATAGCATCATTCGATCACACCGCCATATTTTTGAAATGCAGTGAATTTTCATCTGCTCGATCGAAAGATTTACAGTATTTTACTGGAAGATGGTCTATTTTAGCGAAGATGGATATCAGGGATGACTGAGTAACTTCCAGGTAAGTATATTGTATTGTCTTCTATATAACAGGGCAATTTTGAAAGGAAATATTTACTATTTTCATTCTTGAATTTTGAGCATGTGTTCCGTCTTAAAATTTGAATTCGCTGCGACAATATAAATACATTAGTCTTCATACAAAGGCTTACATTTGACTCAGCCTTTATATCAAATTATGTTTGTTGTAATGCCAAATAGACTAGTTGTGTATATGACAGATTGCCAGATCAAGTGTTCCTTGTATAAAATAATATAGCTTGGCATCTACTTGATCTACTCAATTCTCATATGCCTACCTAGGTATGTCCGAGGTAAATATGGTTTGAGAGAATTTATCGATTTGTTTCCAATTAACTGGTACTTTCAAAAATTTCTATTAATATTTATTCATATATAGGTGGGTCAGTTTAGATAAAAGTTGTCAGTCAATTTGATGTGTTGTGTTGCAACTTTCAAACTTTATATGAATTCATTTAGTTTTATATGCTTGTGTGATGTTATGGTGTTACTCCGAGTGTATATCCACACCGGACAGGCATATTTTTCACCGTGGCCAGGTGGTGTATATATATATATATATATATATATATATATATATATATATATATATATATATATATATATATATATATATATATATATATATATATATACTTCATGATATATATATGAATGCTTCATGATATATATATGATTGGTGAAATTTGTTTCAATTCCATATAACGATTTCATATATGAAATTTTCATATATGAAATGTTATGTGAAATTTTTGTAAGGGATGATATACAGTATTATTTAATCTTATTTAATCACGGTAGCCTTTCAGAAGTACATCTGTTTTTCAAAGGGCCGTGAGTTCATTAAAATATTTACATAATTGGAGAGAGAAAAAAAGAGAAAAAAAAAAAAGGAAATCTAAAAGCGAGAAAAACAGGCCACTTACATAAACTATTTACATGGATGCAATTTATTACACTATAGATTAGGACCAATGGATTAGGACATACGTTTTATGACATTCTTAAAGGAGTTGACAGAGACATCTTCTATTAATGCTTGATCAATAATATGATTAGGTAGGTTATTCCAACTCATAGCTCCTCAATAGGGAAAGCTATTTTTTAGAAAATTTGTCTTTGGCTTAGGTAGGTAAATATTTCTATTGTTGCTACGTAATTGATAGTTGCCGTTTTCGTTCAAGTTAATTGTCTGCATTAGGTAGTCGGGCACTAGACCTTTAAGGGCCTTAAATATCATTACAAGGTCGCGCTCGTCTAAGTTGTCTTTTATAGGTCTCCAGTTTAAGGTTTCAAAAATGTTAGTGGATCGTATGTCGTAACTGGATCCTGTTATTACACGAGCAGCCCTTTTCTGTAACTTATATAATTTATTAATGTGATCAGCGCGAAAGCCATGCCACACAGTTGAGCAGTAGGTAAAGTGATGAAATACAAGTGAATTATACATTGTAATTAAAACATCTTGTGTAACAAAATCTCTGGCTTTTCTTAACATTCCGATACGTGCTGAGATTGTTTTACATTGTTTACTGTTATGTTCTTCCCATTTTAATTGTTCATCTATAATTATGCCTAAGGATTTTGTGCTTTCAACTCGTCTTATTTGCTCGCCTGCGATTGATATGTTTGTAGTATTTGTGCCAATAGAATTTATTTTTTGTCGTGAGCCAATAATCATGTATTCAGTTTTTTACGGTTTAAAGTCAGCTTGTTTGCGGTTAACCATGTGTGAATTATTTCTAAATCGTGATTCAGTTTACTCTCTATATCTGCGGATGATAGTCCGTTACATGATAGGCTTGTATCATCCGCAAACATTGTGGCGCTTGTTGTTACAAGGCAATTTGGCAGATCATTTATATAAAGGAGAAATAGCAACGGGCCTAGATTTGTCCCTTGAGGAACTCCGCAGGTAATTGTTCTTATATCCGACATTTTTTTGTTAATTTTACATATTTGCTGCCTCTTCCTTAAATATGACTGAAACCATTTGTGTGCTGTACCCTTTATGCCATAAGCTGTCAATTTAGATAAAAGAATATTGTGGTCCACCGTATCGAATGCTTTTTTTAGGTCTAAGAATAGTACACCATTAATGAGACCTTGGTCCATGTTTATTAACCATTCATTTGTTAAGCTCAGTAGTGCAGTTTCAGTTGAATGGAGTGATCGAAACCCTGACTGGTTTGGTGATATGATACAGTTTTCGTCTAAATAATCAAGTATTTGTGTATGGACAATTTTCTCGAAAATCTTTGCAATTGTTGAAATTACTGAAATAGGTCGATAGTTTCCACAGTCTGATTTTTCACCTGATTTATAGATAGGGGTAACCTTGGCGACTTTCCAATCTTCTGGAAAAATTCCAGTACTTAACGATAGGTTGAATAGATGATTTAGGGATGGTATTATGCTGTCGCCAGCTTCCTTGACCAATTTTGTAGATACGTTATCAAGACCTGGTGACTTGTTAGTTTTGAGGTTCTTAACCACTTTTATTAGCTCATCATTGGTTATGGCATGAAATTCAAATGAAGTTGACACTGGAGTGACATAACTCAAAGGATCAGTATTTGTAATGGGGATGTTACTAGCTAGTGTAGGCCCAACTGAACAAAAATAGTCGTTAAATTCCTGGGCTATATTTACATCACCGTTTATGTCAATCCCATTGACCTCCACTTTATTAACCGTAGTGGATTTGGAGTGTTTATTTAAAAGTTTATTAATAGTTTGCCAACACTCTTTACTATTTTTGCAATCTTTCAGCTTGGCATTAAAATATTCAGTTTTGCATTTCTTAATGAGTTTCGTAACTTGATTTCGGCATTTTTTATAAGCCTTATGGTAGTATTCAGAGTTTAATCTGACGGCTTTCTTTTTGAGATCATCTCTTTGATAGGAAAGAGATTTAATTTGATCTGTTAGCCATGGTGCATGAGCACTTTTAACTCTGCGGGTTTTAATAGGTGCATGAGTATTGGCAACGTCTAGAAAAATTGTTTTCCATTCATTCCATGCAGTGTTTGGTTCAGCAGTAAAGCTGTATGTTTTAAATGTTTCCTGTAAGTCATGCTGGAACGCTGCCGTGTTAAAATTTTTGAATTGCCTTGTCTCGACTATTTTTGGAGGCTGTTTAGGGATACTCACTTTACGGCAAATGTATACAAGGTTGTGATCACTAATCCCTAAGTCTATCACCCCGCTATCAATAGTTTTTGTATCTTCTACTTTAGTGATCATCAAATCTATTAATGTTTTGCTATTTAAGGTAGTTCTTGTTGGTATCTGTATATGTTGCTGTAATTGATATATGTCTAAAAGGTCTGTGAGTTTTTTAGTAGGTGCGTCTTTGTTTGTTGAAAGTAAATCACAGTTAAAGTCGCTGGAGATAACTAAGTCTTTGTTTTCATTCTCCATTAAATGCAGATTATTTTCAAATTTTTCAAAGAGTTCAATAGGGGAGTTTGGTGGTCGATACTATGTGGATATCAGAAAAGGTTTACTTTTAGGTTTTTTAATCTCAACACAAATTGACTCTAAGTCTTGGACGAGTAAATCGTGTCGCTGGATATAAGGAATATTATTTCTGATGTAAATGGCAACTCCTCCGCCGTGCCTATTTCTATCACGGCGTATTATGTCATATCCACTAATCCTGACATCTCGGTCATTGAAACTTTCATCTAGCCTTGTTTCGTTAATTGTAATTACACCAAAAGATAGTTCATTGATAACTATAGTTAGTTCGTCTAAGTGTTTTGGCAAGCTAGCTATGTTAAGATGGCCTATTTTAAAGCCCTTTAGTTTCGGATACGAGTGCTGTTCATAAATAGATGATGAAATAGATTCATGATTTGAAACGTCCAGATTTGCTTCTATGTCTAAATTTACTTTTAATTGTCAATGTTTTATACAGTCAATTAAATTTCTAGCTAGGGTGGACGTACCTCTAGCATTTAAATGAAGCCCAGAAGCATTCAGGTGATTTTTACTAATGTTGATATGTTTAATAAACAACCAGTTATTTTTTAAACATAAGTTAGCCAACAAGTTATTTGTAGTACTAATTTTCGCATTAAGGTTATCGTCACTTCGAGTGATCAGACTTGATATAATAACTCGACACTTTGAAT